TGCCATCGCTATCAGGTTGGAGGCCATTGCTATTAGGTCGGACGCCATCTCTACTGGTTGGAGGCCATTGCTATTGGGTCGGACGCCATCGCTATTAGGTTGGAGGCATTTGCTATTAGGTCGGACGCCATCGCTATCAGGTTGGAGGCCATTGCTATTTTGTCGGATGCCATTGCCATGGGGTCGTGGCGTTCACGATTAGGTCCGAGGCTATCGCTATTAGGTGGGAGGCCATGGCTATTAGGTTGGAGGCCATGGCTATTAGGTTGGAGGCCATCGCTATTAGGTCGGAGGCGATCGCCATTAGTCAGAGGCGATTGCCATTGGGTGAGAGGCTATCGCTATTAGGTTGGAGGCCATCGCTACTAGGTTGGAGGCCAGTGCTATTAGGTTGGAGGCCAGCGCTATTAGGTGGGAGGCCATGGCTATTAGGTTGGAGGGCATCGCCATTAGGTTGGAGGCCATAGCCATTAGGTCGGAGGCGATCGCCATCGCTATTAGGTTTGAGGTCATCGCTATTGGGTCGGAGGCCATCGCTTTTAAGAGAGCTTCCGGCCATTCGGAAAGGGCTGAGCCTTTTCAATCGACTTAGCTGATCTGTGGGTGTGTCACTACCATCGCCTCCTTGAGGTCGCCCGAGCTGGCCAGTACGTTTCTGGGCATGCAGGCGATGAGACTTCAAGAGACTTCGAGTGAGTCTTTTGTTGGCTCAAAAGAATTGTATTAGTATATATATATATATGGACCATTTATTTCAAACTGATACATTGACAGCGCTACTCCGTGATTGGTATATGTACATATGGTGCGGTAGGATCATAGACGTTCTTATGGCCGTGATTCAGTCTATCCAGTCCAAGTTACTGACGTCGCTATGAGCTCGCAGGCCTCAAGGGATAGATTTGGACGGCCTCGTCGAGGTGATGATGATGATGCTCCAGTGAAGGTGACATGAAGACACAAGTCCTATCACTGACCGATATGTCAGAAATGCTCATGCGCACCTGAACCCAAATAACTTTATATACACAGAGTATATTTGTTTAAAGTAAATTCAGAATATTCCTTGCCTCTTTCGCTTTGCCCAGCTCTCTCGGCTGATGGACATTTGGAGTGTGGGGATGTGCGCGATGGAGGTGGGGAAGCAACATTACCGCCGAACTGTCATTGAAACTGGATATTTGTTCTGGTTCTTGGGTATTCAGATTGTTGAGGAGCTGTCTCAGTAAATATCACTACTTGTACTCAATAGCTGCAGCGGCATCGCGACGCATTGGAGCCATGATGCACGATGTGCATTTTTGCCGTCAGGCGATTTTCTTTATCCCGATCCTCAAACCTTGGCAACCAGCCCGCAGTTGGCCTCAAAGGCTGCGAAGTGTGGTGGTTGGGGTGGATGCAGTGAACTCACTGCCACGTGTATTTCCCCAACCGAACCAGTGAATGGGAGAGACAGACAGAGAAAAGCATGCAAACACCATAAAGATAAAGAGAAAGAGAGAGAGAGAGAGAGAGCCCATGAAACATATGACTGTTGCATGCTTGAGGTATGACGAGTGGTTGGAAGAAACAGGCGGTATTTTTTGTTTGCGGAACAAATTGTAGACTGCAATCACTTGCAAGAGCAAAATTGAAGTGTGTCCTTTTTTTGCATGCCCTCTATTTTTAATGTGCAAGCTAGCCAATATACTTTTTGTCATTTATATCATTTATTTAGCATGGAAACATACTCACTGCTAGGAAAGTGACTGACACCTTTGCCACAGGTAGCGAAGACAAGTTTTTGAGATGGCTGGCAGACACGAAAGAACAGATAATCACAGGACCTTTGAGCTTTATCCATTTAGATGCCTGCTGTCTTAAACACACAATCCGTTTTGATCCGTCTTGTGTTTGAGAGACGCTGGGATCAGCCGTTTCCCCGTCCGTTTCTGACCCAGGAGACATGCGGGATGCTCTCCAAGAAATTGATACAGTCCCTCGGCCATTGACATTGATCAAGGGATATGTTCTTTTCGTTCGAGCAGAAAGAGAGGTTAAAGGAGAGCTGTGTGCCTCGTGCGGAGTATTCTGAGATTTGCATCACCAAAGCTAAGGACATGTGCAACCTTCTAGAGGGCATGCTGGAGAAGGACTCTCTGGCAAGACACTGCGAATATTTGTGAATGCCTCCTTGAGAAGTCAAGACTCATCAAGAAAACGAAACGGCTTAGCCTCAACCGCTGTATGCAGACGCGACATAACGAAGCAGCTTGCAAGAAGAAGATGTTTCCTTGCTTTTCAGGACCCTGAGAAGCGCTTCAGCATCATCGAGTGTATCAATCACTATTTTTTCCAGAAGATCCGCCATACGCACCTGGAGGAGTGGTTTTGGAAAAATGAGGTGTTGGCGGCTGTGAAGGATGGACAGATATTGGAAGAGTAGGAGGTCCAATGTACCCTGCGGGCGACTGCTGGTTGAAGGACCTCGCGGGAATCCTGGAAGCCTCGACTCTTGGTCGCGTTTTTGGCCTGGGCCAAATGCAGAAATGTTTGCGCATGCGGCGCATGTGCACGTGTGCGGTCGATTGTTATATTGTTGGTCTCGTTGTGGACGACTTTTGTTTTTCAGTTGGAACGCACTTCTAAGACATTTCTCACAGTCGGCAGTGTGCACAGAGCCAAGGGATTTTGGCGAAGACTCCTCTCCTGGCGGAAAGTCTGCAAAGTTTCCTGCTTGCACAAGTGCATGGCGAAGGGTTCTCGTTTAACTTTGGGGAGTCTGAGGGTAGAGCTGTTTTCGCGAGGTGTTGGGGGTTGTGTTCGCAAGCGTTCGCAAGGGTCCGCAAGCGCTCGCATGGACGCGCGACAAGGCGGTGCCTTGCGGGACCGTTCTTTTTCAGGTCTTTGATGGATGGGTGATCGGCGCGAAGCGTTGCTATTTGCAGGAAATGTGAGAGTTTGTTGAGGTTGGATGTGTTGAGGTTGAACTTTCGTGGCAAGCGCAGGGAATCGTGAGGTTGTGATGTTTGGTGGAGGTGAATGTCGCTGTGCCACTGGGATTGGCGTGTGAGCCGCTGTGTTTTTGAGGGGCTTGGATTTAAATAAAAACTGCTTGGCAGGGGCTGCATAATGTTTGCGTTTTGATGAAACTTCCTAAATGCTCGTTTTGGATAGCCCCCGACTTTTGAATCAAATCTCGCATTTTTGGAGGCATGTCTGTGCCATCAGCCTCTCTTGAGGGGCTTAGGTTGCGAAGCTGCTTGGCAGGGCTGCGTGATGTCTTCGCTCTGAGACTTCCTGCTTGAAGCATGGGAAACATGCATGTGTAAACGCGACGAGTCTTGGTGTCCCACTGTTGCATCTGTCTCTGGCGCACCGTGTGGCGAAGTTCGTCTGTGATGTTGCTGTGCCATGCGGTGTGGCGCGGCCTCGCCCGAAAGTGCGTTTGCGTCGCTCCTTGGAATTGGGGGCAGGGAAGCGCGCGCGTGTAAACGGCGCGCGTCGCTGGTGAGCAGCGGGATGCCCTATGGTGCCAACGAGGTGTAAGACAAGGGTCTCCCACAAGAGAGTTCCACAAAGAAGGGTGCCCCTACAAGAGTGTCCCAGAACAATGTCCTACAAGAGTGTTGCGCGGGCCTATGTCATACGTATGTGTGTGTGTGTCAATAACTCCTGTTTCCAAGGAGCTCTGACACATTTGTGCAGTCGATTGACAGACACTGCCCAACGAAGACACTGTCAGCTCGTGGTGATGGGACACCGCATTGTGTACCTGCACCAATTATAATTTATCATATCGTAAAGGGCTAGCGCGTTTTGTTGTAACCTTCTGTTTGACCGACCCAGCACTTCATGCCGTTGATTCAAGTCAAGTGCTAAGTATTCAGTAACTAGCTTCCGGAATTTGCAAACTGATAGAGCTCTTGCGAGCATGGATCTAAGTGTGCTGCGCAACAGGTTCCCACTGAGGTCTGTTGTGTGATCCCAGCTTTGGGCGCTTTTAGCGCAGACCCTCAAAGGTGCCTTCTCACTGTTCTCTGCGTTTCTGCTCGATCATCCTCTGACAAGCTGATTGCTCGAGATCGCAGACTGCATGCTGCAGGGCCCACTGCAGCCATCACAGATAAAATGTTTCATGCGGCTAAGTAGTCTTTAGCAGAATGACATGTCGGCTAGTGTAATCACATGTGTTCCAGTTTTAAACAAACCGAGTAATTCATGCACAGTCTTGCTTTCTCTCCTCCCTTGTTTCTCTTTCTAGGTCTTTCCTTCGTTGCCCCGCACCCCCTGGCTTTCCTTGCCTTCCTTCGTTTCTTAGGTCTTTCTTCAGGCTTGTTAGGTTGCTGTTTAGGCTCGTTTTGGTCGATCCACACTCCCGACCCCCCGCTTTCGTTCCTTCCCTCTTTCGTTTCTCTTTTCTTGGTTTCTTCGTTTTAGAGGTTTTTTAGGCTTGTAACCAGGTTTCTTTAGTCAAGTGCTTGCCAACTTCCCAACTGCGCGCCGAATACAGCATGGTGTGTGTGTGTGTGTGTCAACTCCTGTTTCCAAGGAGCTCCGACACATGACTTCATTCCTCTGATTCAAGTCAAGTGCTAAGTATTCAGTAACTAGCTTCCGGAAATTGCAAACTGATAGAGCTCTTGCGAGCATGGATCTAAGTGTGTGTGTCTGTGCGTGGCACAAGAGTGTGCTCTTGGAAGAGTATTCCTAGTGTCACCCCAGAATGTTCTTCCAAAGTGCCTACTTTGGAGAGTGCCAAGCAAGAGTGTCAAACAACGTCTGGCCGTTTTACGCTTGTGGATTTGGGTTCGTGGGTTGTACAATTGTCTCAGACCTTCGTCAACCTCCACATGTCTGGATTCATTGATGTGTTTCACATCCTTTTTGATGCGGCAAAGATTTTGCATGGGATTGGCGGGGTCGGGCAAACACGCAAAAAACCAAAGCCTCACGTCTTGGTGGATCGCTAAGGTCACCCAAAGCCCGGTCTGAGACGTTGCCAACGGAATTGCAGCGGCCAATCTCAGAGATTGAAGCGAAGGAGCAACAGCGCAGGGCCTCCCGGGCGTGCGAGATCATGTAGTGGAGCGCCTTTGCCGATCCTTCACCTTCGCCAATCCAGTTTTCATGCACTCAAAGAAGGTGCTGATTTTGTTTTCATTTTAAAATGTCACGGAGAAACTCTGAGCCTCACAGCTCACCCTCTGTAGAAATCGGACCTTACCTCAGGCAAGGCCATATTTAGAGGCAACGCGCAAGGGGGTTCTTGTGGTCAAGGATGTACGTGCAAGAGCAAGGTTCTTCCCTCATTTTTCTACAATATATACTATTCCTCGTTTTTTTGTCACATGCACGCACAGTCCAGCTCTGCCGGATCCACCGAGTGCATTATGCCGTTATGCTCATAAACACGGCATGCAATGAATGACGTGCAAGGAAGCAGTTGCAATTACATGCAAAGAAATCTGCATTCAGGGGACACCACCTACTTGCCACAAGTTCGATCCTCTTTGAATCTGCTTTCTTGGCCAATCCAGCTCCGCCATTTATGCGTGGAACACCGGAGGAACAAGGCCCCTGAGGCACCTGATGCCAGCGTCTTGCAGAATGCAAGCTGAAGAGCAGGAAATTCAGGCGGACTTTGGACCTTCAACTTTAGCTGTATCCAGGAGATTATGGAATATTGGAATATTCACTTCTGATCCGCATCATGCACATTATTCTATTCACTTCTTGGATACAAACTACGGGGAATCTGAATGCTTTCATCGATCCTGAAAGGATCCTTGTTGAGATGCTTCACAGGCAGAAGGGTTACCATGTGCGGCATGATCGACCACTCCGTAACTTTCGCTCACAAAGCATGACGACTGGAGAGTTTGCTGATTGAATTCCAAGCCTCAGCTCCCTGTTGAGATGTTGAGTATGTCTCTGACTCCTTGCCTTTGCATCAAGGCTTCACAAGCTCAAGCCAAACAACTAGTAACTAGTATATACCTCTGACTGGTTGCCTGCCAAAACATCTACTCCGAGCACACGCAGAGTGCCTGAACCTGAGCTGTGGCTATGACGTCATGTGGCAGAAGGTAGTGTCCAGCACATTTCGGGCTCAGATTCTAATGACACATTGTGCATATCATTTTGTTAATTAGGAAGCTCTACAATTTGGCTTTGGATGTAGATCCCAAGGTCAAACATTTGGGCCATACTTTTTTTTATTGGGATCTGTACGGAGTCCTCCCAGAGAGAGAGAGAGAGAGAGACACTGAGACTTACTTCCATAATGAAACGCAATGTTGATATTCAGAATGGTTCTGCACTGCTGAGTTTAGGTGATTCATGCCCTGCCACTGACTCTCCGCTGCATTGCACTGAGATCTTTGCTATTCAAGTGCACTACAGTCAGATCTTAGTGTCCCTCTGTTTGAGGAAGCATGGCGGCGAGAAGGAAGCTTTTCACCTTTGAGGCTGCAGAACTTGCCACAGATAGACACAGCAAGGTCGAGAAACTGCGCTCACAGGCATTGCACAGCCTCATCTTCATGCTATTTCTGCTTTCCCTTCCCTTCTGCTTTCAGGCGCGGGTAGTGCGAAGAGGGGCGGTGCTTTTGTTGGCCTTTTGGAGTTTGCAGGTGATGCCACCAAAGGTGCAAGAGGACATATTTGGACATGCTGGATGAATCCTGACAGTTTCTCAATATGCCTCACAGAAAGAAACGGATCCTGGAAGCAAATGTACGGTTGTTGCAGTTCCTTTTCGCCTTCAGTTGCAAGGACGTACCACGTTTGGAGCGTCCAGACATAGCTTGCCTCGGGGAATGCCCGTGCGAGTCTTTACCGAGGCAGGCGACTTGACCTTTCTTTTGAGTTCTAGAGTCTTTGCGCATGCTGAGACTGCAGGCCTGAAGTGGAAGAGAAGGCGTCAACACACATATATATATATATAATTACTATTTTCAAATTCAACTTTCATTGCAAGCTTTCATTTTGTTATTTTCACATTTGTCACACCTGGCTTGTTGAATCGAAGCTTCAGATATACCATTGCCACGGTCTGCTGATTTGGAGCGAGAACAGAGCGTCAACCGAAAAAAAAGAAAGGAGGTTGAAGTCGTTGGAGCCTGCAAACAAGTGTATCAACTTGTACCAGATGTTCAGGGATACGGCAACAGAGTGGCAAGAGCTTTCCAAGTCAGGCAAGAACAGCTCCCCAGCATTGTGCGGAGACAGACAGGCACTGCCAAGCCAGTTGAGGGCACTTTGCAACCTTGCTTTGGATGCTTTCAGCCATAAAGCACTCCGCCCGACAGGATCTCTCTTGTGTGGCGAGCTTGGGATGTTTGGCACAATTGCGGCTACAGTTGCGTGAAGCTGAACCTTGTAAGATTGGCATTGGTATCACACAGCAATGATCACTAGGTCTTTCCTTGTTGCGCTGATTGGCGGCGGTGTTTTCAGCCTCGAGGCCTTTGAGGCTGGGATGTTCAATGAACCAACATGTTTCATTTCATATCTTCCATTTGCTTTTGTACTGCAGGCATTCCCGATGCTGTAACCGTAACCAAAAAATATTACATCAAAAAATATGTACGATATTACGAAAACGATCTCCGAAGGAAATCAATTGAAATTCGAATTTATGATTAATTAGGTCAAAATCGAAGGAATCAATTGAATAATCACGATAATATCCCGGATTTATCTTATAGAATGCAGGGGGTTAACCCTCTTATAGAATGCTCATTTGGCAGCTGTGCTTGGGATGTTAGTATTTTGTAGGTAGCAATAGGGTTGGATGTATTTATTTTGTAGTTGGAAGGAAAATGCACGATTTATGGGTTGATTATACGTTGCATCATTTTGTAGACCTTTGGTATAATTAAAATCTTTTTTATTATGGATTTGATGTTTTCGTAATTACGATTTATTTTTAGGTAAATCGATTTTTTTTCTTATTTTGGTAAACGTTATAAATATTTTATTCGTTGGAATCGTGTATTGATTCGATTATCGGATAATGTTGATATTGTTTCGATTGTTTTACACCGAGGTGAAGAATCTTATGGTAATTATTGATAATTTTGTTTTCGAATAGGTATTAATCGATATATTATTGATAATATTATTATTTTATGCTTTATTTGTATGTATTTAGTAAGATATTTATTTGGTTTGGCTTATTATTTATTAATAATATAAATAAAAACATATTTTATATATTATATTAATATCATAATATATAATTATATATTTCGATATAGATATAATATTTTATTTTTACTTATAAATATTTTATTAATATTTTTTTTATATATATTTATATTTTCTTTTATTTTGTAAAAGAATATATGACCCATTTTTAAAACCGAACGATTTGATTTAAGAAAAAAAATCGTAACACGATTTATATGAATTATGAATCAAAAATAAAATTACCTTAGCATTGGCTGAGTTGTTGGTTGCTACGGATTAGCGGCGGCGCCGAACGATGTCGAAGGGCGGAGAGCCTACAGCCGATGAAAGGCTGGATGCTTTGATAGAAGAGGTAAGAACGTTAGAGAGCGCTAAGGATCCACTTAGAAGAGCCTAAAGCCTGGAACTAAATCGGCCGTTGACGCCATCGTTGAGAAAAACCTCGGGAATTCAAAGGGAGAGATCTGCACCTGAAGGAGCTAGAGCAATTGGCGATCGTGAACGTGAAATGCTAAGGAAATCTTAAGGATCGCCTATGAGCTTCATGCCGATGGCACCTCCTTTCCCTACTGGAGCACTACCTTCTCACCTACCTGGACAGCATGTTGGGGGACAAATCGGAATACAAGATGGTGGTGGCGGGGTCATCAATCTGTTGCAACCCGTGCAGGAACAAGCATGGGGCATGCTTGCAGGCCTTGGGATACCTCTTCCTGGAATGTGGGGAGAGCGGGGGAGCCAATCGTAAATGCCGATCCTGCCGGGGCCACGTGAAATTGGTGGTACTATGAGGGATCCCTCTATGACTTTAGAATCTCTATTAGGGGGACTACTAGCGGTACAAGATTAAGGACTAGGTTATGGTGTAGGAGAAGAAGTGAAGGGTTCGGTGAAGAGTTCGCCGATGAATCTATGGATAGCTGAGAAACTTCATGAACTACATGACCAAGCCCGAGGCAGTCGTGGAGTACCTGATCCCGTGGAACTATTTCGTGCAAAATGTCTACAGGAAGCGGAGGTCAGGTTTCAAGAAGAAATACAAAAATTGGGACAGCCGAGCTCGAACTCGTCTTTCCAGTCAGCCGTGGAAGCTCTTGGAACCAAGGTCACAGGTGGAGGAGAAGTGCAGGCGCCTAAACCAACGTTGGTACCTATAGTGAATGTGGGATCAAGTGGCACTGGGCAAATCCCGGTGGTCTACCCATGACCCTGCCCTCCTGGACTACCTGGATAACCACCTTGGGGAAATGGAGTGGGTGGTGTTTTTCCGAATGATGTTCCTGGTCCATCTACATCGCCAAATGCATAGGTGGCGCCAGAGGAATCGTTGGGTGATCAAACCCGGCCTGTGGAATTGCCGGTGTTGGGCCTTGAAGCTACATCGTTGGCGTTTGGTGATTGGCTAACCACGCTGGAGCCGATTGTGTCGGAGATCAGCCCGGGAGCGAGTCAATGGTGGCAGCTGACCTTGAAGAGCGTGGCCAAGGCCTACGAAGAATGGCTGACAGCGGACCCGCTCCAACGTCTTCGTCTGGGTCCAATCTGCACTGAGGAGGCGAACAACTGTGGCTGCTGCGGGTGGTGCCTGAGACTGTCAAGAACGAGGTCGTCACGACCAGGAAGATGACGGTTGCTCAGGTGTTGTTTATCCTTTACGTGAAATTTCGACCCGGAGGACAAGGTGAACGGATGAACCTAATCCGAAATTTGATGGAGCTCAAGCTGATCAACAACATGTTAGAAGTCGCCCAGGGCATCCGTACTTGGAGGAGGTGGTGGAGCCGTTCGGAAGAACTGGGGGTGTTGTTCCCGGACCCTGTTGTATTGACAGGGGTGTTGGTGAAGGCTTCAGATCATTTGGCGAAGTCTGGAGCTCAAGCGGTTTACCGATTGGCAACCAGTCGGTAGCAATTGTTGGTGGACACGCGTCCATCCTTGGAAAATGTCAAGATCTTCGCGGAGCACCTACAAGCGGAGGCAGAAGAATTGTCGAGGGGTGTTGGGGCTGGTGGAGGAAAAGGACCCTCATTGAAGGCGGTGGCGGTTCAACCTATATCGGGTTTTTCAACTATGATCTCGACGGGCACTTCCGGTGGTGAACTTCGTGAGGGTGGC